TATCCTCGCCATTTTATCCTACCCAGAAATCTCGACGAAATACCTTCCCCTCTTTTTCCCCCTTTTTTCATCGCTCGCACTTTCCTCCATTGCCCTCAATTTCATTCCCCAGAGATTCTCTAATCTTTGATCAACCTTTCTCAATTTCCCCTTTATTAATTTTTTTTTTCTCTCGGGAAAAAATTCGTTCGCAAAAGTTTGCAGAAATACGAAATAATAACGTTGAAGAAATTGTTTATCCGATCGTGAACGAATCAACGTAACTGGCGTATCGTTTACTCGACTTTGACATGCGACAATAACCACTGCATGAGAGATACGTGGGTCGACGTGGCTCGTTTTATCTATGCGCATACTTGACTCGCATGCAAGTCAAGTATCTCGATGAGGTATTGACAGTCAGAAGGGATCCGTCTGTTCGTACCTTGACGCGCGATAAGTGACAACGACTGATAACAGTCGCGTATTCACGCCCATTAGCACACCGCTATCCTCGAGCGGTTGGTTGCTCTCGATCGGAGAATTCGATTCCCACAAACTTTCCAGACGGACGAATAACGAGTAATTTCATCATCGTTCCTCCTCCGCTCCGGATCGATTCGTTTGGCAATTAACTCTTATTTCTAGAATTTCCATTCCTTTCCAAAACATTATTAGAGAATGGGTGACGTTTGAGTCGAGATCCCTCGGATAAATTTCATTATCGACCAAGTCGAATTGTCCGACCGATGAATAATTGCAGACAAATTGGTGTCTAAAGAGATCTGGGAATAACACCCCACTCGATAACAGTGTGCGATTGTTTAAATTTGACTGAAATATCGCTATTTGTAGATGAACTGTAATTTAAATATAACGTCCTATTTACTAAGGGAAGATATAATGGGAAAAACTAAAAATTTCTGGGTAAAAAATTCAGACTTATACCCCGTTATATGAAAGAATAACTTTCAGTTCCAATTCGAGACTCTTTCCCAAGAAAAGCTTTAAGCTAAATTGTTTCTATCATTTTAAATAGGATTAGATATTATTTTTTACGCTAAAATTATTTTTCACGTGATTCATTTCATATTATTTTATACCATTAATGACATCGGTCTCAAAATTGTAATATAATCTATATATAACTGTATAAAAAAAAAATTATTTATAAGCGTGATCCATAAGTTGAGAAACATTGAAATAGATTAACGATTAATAATTGAGAAGAAAATGTGTTGAAGATAAACGATTCGGAAGAATAAAAGAAAAAAAAGAAAATTGAAAAAGAGAAAGAAAAAAGGGGAAAAAAGAAGAATGAAAAAAAAAAAAAAAATTAAATTAATCCAGCAAGTGCTAGAGAAAAAGTTTCGTTTCTATCATTCTTTGAAAAGTGGCGACGCGGTTAAATCGCGCCACCCTGTATACGCATTCATGAATAGTACACGCGTCCCGTCGTTCGCAAAGAGATGCAGACGCGTTTATGTAGACATTCGTACATATGTATGTATGTAGGTACGTATGCGCGCGGCGCTCGCCTCTCTCGGCACATGGCCGATGTTCTA